TTAAATATGTGTGCAGGTAATAACAGTAGGAAAAGGGAAAATGTGAATTACTTTGCTATGTGCTTAGCTTTATGAAGATCATTTTGGATGTATTTTAAAAGATTAGATGCTATGGATGCAAGAGCATGTATTTTGGAATTTTTGTGTTGTGTATTTTGTATTATAGACTTTTGTGATATGGACCTTTGTGGGCTTAAACATATATTCTATAAATGAAATATGTGTTATATGCAATGTGAGATTTGGGGGTGTAACACTTACACATTATTAGGGTTTTTCTCAATTGGGCGTAGATTTGATGCTAAATATTGTCTAAATATAAAATGTTATTCATATTATTTTAAATTATAATAGGACACTTAAAAGTGTCCGATTATCTTTTAAACACTAATACAACAATCAAATATGTTCTATTAACGTTTAAAAATAACATGATACTTTAAAATGTATTATTAATTTCTATAATAATATGACACTTTAAAATGTCCGATTAGTTTTTAAAATAATATGACACTCAAGAAATGTCCTATTAGACTCTAAAATAATATGACATTAAAAAGTGTCGTATTAGAGTTACATGAAAGGACGCTAAGAGAGCTTAATAAGACATCAAAATTCAAAAGTAAGAGTTCTATTAAATTAAACGAAATAGGACTCATAAAATAATGTATCGTATTAGCCCTTTTAAAGGACGGGTCTTGAAAAGTGTCCCAAAAAAGTGTCTTATAAACCCCCTTTTTGTTGTAGTGACGGTTGTTTGGAAAACCGAATAAAAATGTCGCATGTTTTTACACGGTTGTTAGCGAAAAAAGTGTGACAACTTTACCAATTTTATTGTGAATTTATGAACAATAAAAAGCATGTTTGGACACATTATATAATAGGTAAATAAATGAAAACTAAAAAAATTTATTTCTTTAGTTCAAAATTAGAAATGGGAATTATGGATACAACTTATCATTGAAGAATTTGAATCCATTTTCTTCAGTTTCTTAAAAGAAGAAAAAGGAAATCAAATCCACGTTTTTCTTTGTAGGTAGCATTTCGAAGTACAATAAGAGATTGGCCTCATATTATTGAAGGTAATTTTTCCGTGGCTGTAATGATAAGTTCTATTGAAGTAGAAGTCGTAATTGATCGATCGCTATATACAACCTCGTGTTATGGACACGAATCTAATTGATAGTGAGTCTCGAATCAACAAACTAGTACATTCATTATTGAGGATAGAAGCAACACACGAGGTGTTCTTGGTAGGTAGGTATGTTCATCGGTTGACATCCATTGGATATGAGAGAACCAAACTGATCCGATCATCCATTATTAGATGTTGGATTTTGCCAACTGTTCTGATCCGATTAACATTGAATACCTGATCCAATCTAATCCAATGGATGATTGGATTGGTTTGGTTTCGTCCATTGGATATTTTTATTGGATATCCATCGGATATCTAGTGGATGATCTGATGGGATTGGATCCATCCGATGTATTGATTCAATCAAATTCTCCAATAATGATACAAATTAATTAATCACTTTTAATATGTTTTAAAACCAACACAAGGGAACTTAACAATTCAAAGTCTCACATAAAACAAATTCCGGTTTAAGCCATTTGAAAATAAATTAATTGGATGATAGTTGGATAATTATTGGATGGACAAGTGGATGGTCATAAGATGATTAATTGGATGTTGATCGATTCGGTTCGGTTTTGGTCGGTTATGGATTGCCATCTGAGAATCGACCAATTCAAATTGGATGTTGAAATTTTCAATCTGACCCGATCCAATTACAATTGGATATCCAAGTATGGTCAGTCGGTTCTAATTGGATCAGTTGGTTTCAATTAGATCAGTTGATTTTATGCACACCCTTAATGGTAGAGATAAGTGGAATAAGAGAAATTGGTAAGACAACTTTTATGAATGCAGATAAAGAAAAAGGCAAAGAGATGCAACTATTTTTTATGACATTTTTACACGATTTTTATTTAGTAATCGTGTAAAAAGATTATACGTTTTCATATGGTTCTATATAAAAACTTGTAAAAAGGCCACCACACGATTTTGACTAAGAAACCATGTTTTTGTAAAACATCTAGAATTTTTTTCCACGACTTTTGGTAAGAAGCGTGTAAAAAGGTTATCGTACCTTTATACGCGGTTTTTAAATTAAAACCCTGTAAATGTATGGACCTTTTTAAGCGGTTTTTAAGCCAAAACCGTATAAAATGTTTGGACGCTTTAACATAGTTTTCTTCTACAACCATGTAAAAATGCCTCCGGGTAGTTTTCTACGTGTTTTTTTTTTCCCATAATCGTAATGTAAAAAGGGGCATATCAAAATATTATTTTTGTAGTAGTGGATAACTGTGGTATCCAATATTGTGAGGCATTTATTTAAAATAATTACATTATTTGTTAAATATATAAAAAGGTAATTTAGCAATAAAAAGAGAGCTCATAAATGAGCTTAATTAATTTATTCTCTCTGTAAAGAGGAAACTCATAACTCCCAAAAATAAGAAATCTATAACTCGATCTCCATAGTGTGTCATCTTTGATCTTTTATGCTAGTAACACCAAGTGTATTTTCATTGTTATGTTGTTTCCTTTGTATCACATTATGTATTCTCATTGTTTATAGTGTATCACATTATGTATCTTAGGGTTTCACAACGTGTATACATTGGACATCACAATGGACATTAGTAGGTATATTGGGTATATATAGAGAGAATAATTCTAATAAATGTAACATATTATATGTATATAGTGCCATTGTCTCTACAATGGATATCATAGTGGAACATGTGTTCACGCCTGAGGGGAGAGGAGAGAGAGGAAAAGGGAGAGATAAGATTTCTAAAAAACCTAAAATACCATTATTTAAGTTTTTAAACCAAAATTACCAAAACTATTAATTCTCTATTTTGAACGTTGATTTATGGTCGAGATTGAGTCTCACGGATCTTGCTATAACTTGAAAGAGAGTAGTGAGTAAAGTTGGGCTTGTTACTTCCGATCAATGTCTTTTACTAATGATTTATGAAACTGAATAGTGTTCTTTACAGAAGCCAAATGAGGTCTAATGTAATATTCTGGTTGTTATTTCAAGTTTATATATATATATATATATATATATAT